ACCGCGTATTGGCAGGTCTCCTTGCCCCCTGCATTAGTAGACTAGTGCACATCAGACTGCCAGCATCAGATTTGATGCCTCCATACTTGAATTTCCTGATGCTATTAAGCTCATCTCCCGAGTAGGTTCTGCCTAAATCAGCCTGTTGGGCATCCTGATTGAAGACTTTAGACAGGCGAAGCCGAAGGCTCTCTGGCAAAATCGGTTCTGCGTTCAAATTTGTCATGTTTCTAACCCTAGACGTCTTTGGCGAGCTAAAAGCAAATGGAAGAATGCGACCCCGCACTGAGTCACCGTGGGACGAAGCTTTGCCAGAGAGGAATTCTTCCTCAAGAGACTCAAGAACCAGATTTTCCGACTGCAAGACATTAGCTCCCGAAGGTGTAGCTAGATCGTAACTATTTCCAAGAGTAATAGTGGGGGTATTAAATGTTTCCGGTAGTTGGTGTTTACCCAAGTTCTTAGGATTGCCAGCATTCGTCTCATTTTTACTGGAAGGTTTAGGAAGACTATACGAGCCACGCAAAATGAAATTGTCTTGTTTTCTTATTGGCCCAGGGCTTGGCCAAAACTTTGGTCCCTGATGGCTAGGATCATCATATCCTAAACCAACCTCCAACTGGTTTTGCTCGACATCCTCACAAGCCAAAGAGCAATTGAGTGATGTGGATTCAGTAGCCTGTCCACTGATATTTACACCTTTTGCATTAGGCCCGAACAATGTTAGCAGGCGATGAGCATTTTTAGATGCCTTCTGGGGGCCCCGTCTTGGTTGATCAAGATCGTAGCTGGCTCCAAGGCGATTTTCGACACCAGGTCTGACGCTGAGTGATGAAGCATGGCCAGTAGTGAGTATACCAGATTTCTCGTTATGTATCTTCTCCAGCCGATTTAAACAGTTGAGAAGACCATTTCTGATCGAATTTAATCGCTTGTCTGTATAAAATGGAGCATATAACCAGGCCATCAATTCGGATTCTTCTTGGTGACAATAAAAGGTGGGGTCAATGTGATCTCCACTTACATTCGGATCGCCTAATTCTAATTTATTCGCAGCCTCCTCAGCCAGACACCTATCAACATCAAGCCACCATCCTGCACGCCCGAGACCGCAAGCTTCTTCGATAGATTCCAGCTGTTCCGTACTAATAAAGTTATCTTCAACAAAGCCCAGACTTGAGGATAGATTTTCCTCCTCATAGGAACCAAAAACGCCGTCCTGACAGAAGGGATTGGTGATAGCATCATTAAACGTGGCATCATCTTCATCACCCAATTCAGGATATTCAGTAGAAAAAGCATTTATTTGTCCATTCACAGAATGGAAGGAGTTGGGAGCACAGATTTGACTCATTTGCTAAACTTTAACTTTTCAGAGAAGGTACCTGAAGATTAATCTAAAGAATAACGGTAAATTATGTAAAGAATGCATGATTAATTTTCGTAAGTAAATTAATAATCTATAATTAAATGTTAATTATTAAATATATAAAGACCAAGATGTTGTGGCCTTTGTTATGGCCACAGTCTCCTTTCGATTTATAGAAGTGGGTTGACCTCGTTGTCGAAACTTAGTCTTGTGCTCAGGGAGACTATGTAGAGCGCACCGAGTCCGAAGTCGTCTGCC